GCCGCCGCCGCCGCCATGGCCCGGCCGCTGGTACCCAGCTCACAGAAGGCTCTGTTGCTCGAGCTCAAGGGGCTGCAGGAGGAGCCGGTCGAGGGCTTCCGGGTGACACTGGTGGATGAGGGCGACCTGTACAACTGGGAGGTGGCCATTTTCGGGCCCCCCAACACCTACTACGAGGGCGGCTACTTTAAGGTGAGCCCGCAGCCCAGTTCGGACGCCGCGACCCTTCTCCTTGCGAGGTGGTCCCCCTCTCCCTCTTCCCAGGCACTCGCTGTCACTCAGGGGGCCCCCTCAGTCATCTCTTCCTTCTCCGGCCCCAGGAGTCCCCGAGAACTTCCCAGTTCCCTCTAAGACGGATTCAGGTCCCCCAGAAAGGAGCCCAGGACGCTCTCTGTTTTGTTTGGATGCGGGTTCTTGTTTACCGCACTTCTGGCAGGGCTCAGCCCCTGATGCCCCCTTCCTCCGCCCCGCCCTGGCAGACCCAGCCTTCAGCTGCCTTTCCAGCCCCCTGCCCGGAGGAGACAAAGGCCTCCCCAGAACCAGCAAGCACTATTGTTGGGGAGCACTGGCATGGGGGAGGGAGGGAGGCAGGCCGGCCAGCGGTGTGGGGGTAGGGGTCTGGCTCCGCCACTTGCTCAGATTCTAACAAAGGCCTGGATGGGGCCTTGGCAGCCAGGACCTTCTTGGAAAGCAGCCACCCTTGCCGATAGCAGCGGGCCAAGCCCTCTCAGCTTTATCCAGAGCTTTACATAACCTGTTCTCCCCGGAAGATTGAAGCGGAGCTGTTTCTCTCATCCTTTACCCCGTCCCTGGGAGCCACACTGCAGAGGCGGGCCCCACAGACCCCCAGTCCTCTGGCTTCTACCAGCTTCCCAGACTCTAGCCTTAGAAGCTCTGCCTCCTCTCTCACCTCAACTGGCCTTTCTCAGGTTCCCTAAGCAGATGGCCAGAATCTCACACTCTGGGCCATTTCTTCTGTGATTTAATTCCAAGGACTTCCCTTTTGTTATTGGGATCAGGAAAGGGAAGTTAGTGCTTTTCCTGGGACTGGTGTGACAAAGGACTCAGTCCAAAACGCATTCAGCCTTCTCACCTCATGTTCTTAGCCCAAGCGTGGCTTTGGAAGGACCCCTTTCACGTCACAGGACTTGACTTTTTGAGCAAGAGGGTCTCCCTGTGGGAGAGGTGAGAAATGAGCCTTAAGCATAGGAACACACCCCATGACAGCCTGCCAAGAACCTGGCTGAGAAGCCTGGTTGGGGAGCAGAAACCATAGCTAGGCCAGATTGGGAGGGGCCATAGTGCTGCCCAGACAGATGTCTCTGTTTGCACTCTTGACTAATGTTTTGGCTCTACCTGCTCAGTTGTTTATGAAGGAGCAGCCTGGCCTGCTGAGGTGGGATGGGGAGAGGAGTGGGAACAGTCCTGGGCTGAGTTCTGAATTTGGAGTCAGACCTCACCATGGGAATGGATTTGGGGCTGATTACTCAAAGGGTTAACGAGCCCCCCTCCCCAGCCTCTTTTGTCTGTTTTGGGAGTAGCAGTCTGTGAGAATAAGGGCTCCTTCAGAACCAGGACCCCACTCTTAGGCAAAGCCGGGCCAAGACTCTAAGCAAGAGTGCAGGTTTGGTAGGAAAGGATGTAGGTGTCTAGCTGTTGTCTACTAAGTGGTTGCAAGGGATTGTGCATAGAGCCTCCCAGGCTGTTGTGGGGATAATCCCATTTGCTTAGAAAAGAACAGATTGTGGAGGGCGCCTGCAAGATTTTGATCACATCTGCCATAGGGTCTTTTTCCTCAAGGAAACCAGCATGGGGCCCAGGGCCATTCTGTCACCCACCCAACCCTCCCATTCAGGTCCCCTTGTGGTCAGGGAGTGAGGGGAAAAACCCTCTTCCACAGGAGATGTGGAAATGCAGGGGTGGCAAGTGCCCATGGGCCACTATCACTTCCCAGCCACTTCCTGCAGCACCTTCCTCAAGGCCCAACCCAGCTGCCCTCAATTTTCCATCATGAGCCATGGCAGCACTCAGCCCAAGACAGGTCACTGGGCAGTGCAGTGTGCTGAAGGGATGCCAGAGAAACGAAGTTCTAGAGCCCCCTGCACATTTCACTTGCTGTGTGCCCTCGGGCAAGGTGCTTTCATTCTCAGAGCTTTGGTTTGCTCAAAGGTAAATAAGAGACGTGATGGGACCTGGTGGGTGCTTGGTGCAGGGGAGGCCTCAGTTATTCTCTGGGCTGTCACTTAGAAGCCCGACACTGGGCTTGGGGACCACAGGGCAGGTGTTAAAACCCAGGTTCCAGACTTGTTCTGCCACCATGGTCAGTGGCCTCATCATTCACCAGAGAACAGAGGGATTTAACCCAAATGCCCTGAGTGACCCCTACCCAGCAGAGGTGGCGTGTTCCTCTGTGGCCCCTAGTCTGCTTCTCACCCCTGAGAGCCTGAGGCACTGCCAGGATCCTGGGCCAGATATCCCAAAGCCTGGGACTTGGGGCTTAAGCAAGCAAATGAAGCTTCCTCACCTACTGAAACTGTAGCTCTGTCACTCAGGTGGCCCTTCCCGTCTATCACATGACCTTCCTTTTCTGCCTTCCTGTTTTCCCAAGATGGACACCTGCGGGCAGAGAGTGTGTCCACCCAGCACTGACTCATCTCCTCCCACAGGGCCCAGGCTACAGAGGTGTCGGGAAGAACTGCCAAGTGAACACACATCTATTTTAATCCTCCCCATAACCTGGGAACTGAGGCAGGGAGTGCAACACCGTGCTTGAGGCTCACAGCTCCCAGGGCCAAGGCCCCAGGCCCATGCTGGTCTGTGGAGCTGTTTGCTGGTGTGAGCCCACCCTGGTGCCCAGCCTCCTGACCCTCCTACAGGCCTGGGCTACAGATGGGCTTGGAGCTGCTCCCGGGTCAGGTGCCCATTCTCCCCAGTAGCAGGGTGGGGACCAGGATCAGCTCAGGTGACCCCCAAAAAGCCCAAGGCAACCTATTGTGCACCTGACCCCAGGTCTGTTAGGGGTGTGGACAGCATTCAGGATTCCTCGTGCACTCATGCACACATGTGTGCCTGTCCCAGCTGGGCAGCTCTCCTGTAGTGGGGGTGTCCATCCCAGGCTGATGTCCTTGTTTGTGTGTTTATGGACGGAGTCCTCGAGAGATATCCTGTCCTGTCCAGCCTGAACCCATATATGGCACTGAGGGGACAACAGGGCCAGCCCTGGTTGAGTCTTCCTGCTCTCTGCCCACCCCCCAGGCACGCCTCAAGTTCCCCATCGACTACCCTTACTCCCCACCAGCCTTTCGGTTCCTGACCAAGATGTGGCACCCCAACATCTATGAGGTGAGCCTGCCCCTCCCACCTACCCTTCCCAGCCTCTCTGTAATGGGGGCGGGCAGGGGAGGGGCACTGTGCGGCCTGATGAGCTGGTGTGGGCACTGACCCCTCCCTCCTGTCCCTGCTCAGACAGGGGACGTGTGCATCTCCATTCTCCACCCCCCAGTTGACGACCCCCAGAGTGGTGAGCTGCCCTCGGAGCGGTGGAACCCCACCCAGAATGTCAGGTGAGGCTGGTCAGCAGGTGGATATGCCTGCCACCAGCATTTCTGACCTCTTTGATACAGACATGGAGAGACACACCTGTGTCATCCTTGAGGCCACAGCTCCTTGCAGTGCTGTGGCATCTCTTGAAACTTCTTCCACCAATGTGCTGGGGCCCTAGGGGTCCTGGGCCATCTCTGCTGGACTCTCCCCTCATTTCCTGATACCTACTACCCCATCAAATGGGAATTCTGTGTCCATATCTTTCTGCCCACCTGGTCACTCCTCTGCCTTACCCTGAGGTCTCCCCTCCTTTTTCAACCCCCACTAAGCCTAGCCACCTCTGTTCTCAGGGGTGAACTCACCCTGAGTGGGCCAGCCCCCCTGTGGCCAAGTCCCTGGGCCTGACACACTTTCTTCTTGCCTGTGTATCCTTAGTCCAGCCCAGTGCCTAGTAAGAGATGGTAGCTCAGAGGGACCCACTTGCCAGGCAGTGCCCTAGGGCATGGGAGAGGCATGTTTCAGGTGGAAAGAGGTGGTCCTGGGCTTGGCTGCCCATACTTGTCCAGGGAGCTGGGCATACGGCAAAGGGCAGGAGGAGGTCAGCAATGAGGGAAGGCCCAGTGAGAAGTCCAGAGAAACATTGTTTTTGGGATGGGGGGTACCAGGTGGTCTCTGGGTGCGTGCTGGCTTCAGGGTGTGTCCAAAAGCTCCCCCAGTGACTTATGCCTGAGAGGCTGCAAAGCTGGAACTTTGTGCGTTCTTCAATAAATGCTAGCTGCCAGGGGGCTGTGCTTGGCCTGTGGCTCCTGCTACAGTGTCGGACCCGGCTTCCAGGGTGTGTAGTGCAGCCAGTGAACACCC